TGTGCAGAAGAATATAACTGCCAGAGAATATGTCTTGGGCTGGGGTGTAGGGGATAGGTATTTTCAGAAAGAGACAGAGAAGTGAGCCAGGACACTGGAGGCAGGGTGTTGACAGGAAAAATCTCACAGGAAAAAAAAAAACTCAAACCAAGTTTTGAAGAATGCTTTTCCAAGCAGAGAGAACAGCATGTGCAAAGACAGGCGGGAAGAAGGAGGTGCTCCAGATGGGCTGAGTGTAGAAGGACAAGGAGATGAGGCTGGCAGGGCTGTGTGCACAGTGCAAAAATGTTTGAGCTCCATGTCATAGTATGGAGTGGCCAAAGGGTTTGGAGCAAGCACCAAGAAAGTACCAGGCTTAGCTTGGGCCAATAATAGATGGCAGCATCATGGGCTCAGGAAGGCCCACCTGTGGCAGAAGGGGCTGGCTTTAATCAGGACAGAGCTAACTTGGAGGAAAGTTTCCCAACTGGGGGCAAGGAGTGTTTTCCTAAAATTCAAGCCCAGTAGGGTTCCTGCCTTCTCCCACAAGGCCCTGTGGGGTTCTGGCCGCTGCAGAATTTCCTAGTCACTTTCACTTCTGGAGTTGCAGCCACACGTCCCCACTGCTTCTGTACCAGCTTCCTCTTCCAGCCCACCCCATCCATCCCTTACCTTCTCTTAACTGAGATATATATATAATTCATATAACATAAAACTCACCCTTTTAAAGTGAACAATTCAGTGGTTCTTAGTATCCACAGAGTTGTGCAACTACCACCACTAATTCCAGAATACTTCATTACCCCAAAAAGAAATCCTATTAGCAGTTTCTCCCCCATTCCTCCCACTGCCCCGCCCCCAGGCTTCTGGACATTTCATGTAAATGGAATCATGTCACTTGTGGTCTTTTGTGTCTGGCTTCTTTCACTGTGTATCACGTCTTCAAGGTTCTTACATGTTGTGGAACATATCAGAGCTTCCTTCATTTTAATGGATGAATAATATTCTATTATATGGATGGACCACATTTTGTGTATCCATTTATCCATCTATGGACATTTGGGTTGTTTCTACTTGTTGCCTCTTGTGAATAATACTGCTGTGAACAGTCATGTACAAGTTTTCATGTGGATGTGTGTCTTCCATTTTCTTGGGCAGACACCTAGGAGTAGAATTGCTGGGTCATGTGGTAACTTGGTTGAACATTTTGAGGGAATACCAGACTGTTTTCCACTCTGCCTTCTTTTATTCTGAGTACTTGTCTAATCTGTAGTAGAAAGTTTGGATGACCATTTGTTGGCCTCTTTCCCTATATGCTCTGGGTGAGCAGGGGCTATCTCTTTGCCCACTAGCCTTCAGTCCTCAGCCTGGTACCTAACACCCGGCAGGCACCCAACAAAAATTGGTGGAGACGCAGGTTGGTTCAATTCTTCAAATATTTCTTGACTCTTAGGTTGTACCAGGTTCAGCAGGAACCCAGACAATGGCGATTCCTGCCCTGGCCAGGGGTCTGATGGAGATGTTCGGGAGCTAGTTAGTGATCTTGGCTGGTGCTCAGGAGAAAGGGAAAACTGAGGACAGAGGTGTCACAATCTCTGGCATATATTTGGTCATTTAAGATGTGAGAGTGAAATCGCCAAGGGCATGAAGGGCCAAGGGCCAAGGCAAAGTCTACAGAGAAACAGGCACCATATGGGAGGCTGAGAAGCCCTGGGCAGAGAAGCAGGAGAGCCAGGAGCCTAGCCTCTTGGGAACTAGATGGGAGAGGACTTCAAGAAGGAGGAGGCATGACTAACAATGTCCAAATGCCCCTGAGAAGGAGAGGAAGAAGTGGGGAGAGATGTCCAGCATCTGGACTTTGCCCCCACACTCCCTGCCCCAGCTTACCAGCAGAGTCTCTTCCCACCCTCTTTCTTGGCTCAGCTTCCTAAACCATGGGCCACCCTATGGGGGTGAGGTGGGTGGTGGCAGAGGCAAGAGCAGGGTTAGGTGGCCATGGCCTACCCTTCAGGAGCCAGGATCCCCCTTCGGGTGGCTGAGGTAGGGCAGAGGCAAAGGGTTTTGAAGTTAGGAATGTTGAGAGGCTAGGATCCCAAACTGAGAGGGTCCTGTGTGTGGACTTTAGAGGTGTAGCCCCTCAGCCCTGGAGGGGAGCCTCCTGCCTCTGCATCTCTGTGCCAGTCCAGCCAGGAGGGGATGGTGAACAGCCCGTGGAGTTTTCTCATCACCTTGTTCTACTCATTTCCCTTGCCTAGAAGAGTGCCTGGCCCCCAGTAAGTACCAGGGAAGAAATGGCTGTGCCAGTAAGAGTCATGGCACTCTGGAGAGGGAGGCAGGACTGCCCACAAAGCTAGGACGGCAGCAAGCAGCGTCTATCCCAATCTACTTGATTCCCAGGATGGCGAGGTGCAGAAAGTATGCATGGGTGTCTATGGATGTGAGATGGTGTGTGTGTGTGTGAATGTATATGAGTGTGTGTCCGCCTGTATATCTGAGCATGTAAGTTGTGTGGAGTGTGTGTCTGCCTGTATGAGTATGTGTGCCTGTATGGCTGTGTGTGTGAGTGTGTGTACATCTAACACTGTAAAGCAGTGTTTCTAGGGAGTCTGGGGATGGGTCAAGAGAAAGTTCCTGAGGGATCAGAAGTTTCTTCCTGTCAGACTGCAAATTTCAGCCCTGTGCATTGAGTCAATTTTATATCCTGAATGAAATACACATTACTATGTGGTAAATAGCTGAACACACTTTGCTTAGCAGACAGCTCCTGTTTGTGTGTGTGTGTTTTGTTTCTTTGTTTTTGTGTGTGTGTGTGGTTTTTTTTACCAGAAACTCAGAACTGAACCATTCTCTCATGCTCTTTAGGGGAGGGGGTAAGCCAATGTGCTCTAAGGCTTGGATCCTCTGGTCTCAGTAAGGAGACAGTGGTCCCAGGTCATGACCCTGGCCACATGTGAGTTCTGTCTCTGAGGCCCCAAATCCAGCTGTGCTTCTGCGGTACTGATCCTCACCTCCCCATCTCTCAACCCTGAAGCTGGAAACCCATGAGGCCTTTCCAGCCCTTCCCCACCCAGAGAGATCCTTCCAGATTAGCACTTCTTGTCCATAGACTTTTTTGACTCTACAGAAGGCCCTGGAGCAGCCCTCACTGTCCCTCTCTCAGGAATGATTAACTCCTGGCTAAGTGGTACACATGGCTTGATCTTTGGAGCAGGTTGTCCTTGACCAGCGGGGCAATGAGATGGAAAGGTCTTCTGCTTCTTCCAGGAGCCACCACCTAGAGTTTGTACCACTCACCAAAAGCCAGAGTCCTCAGCACCCAACAGACTAGGAGAGCTCACATGAGCCAGAGACAGAACCAGTGGCCCTGGGAAGGGAGGGTTCTGGACCCCCCACGAGGCAAAACACAAATGGCACCCTACCATGACAGGGCAGCATGAGGGAAGGAGGCCAGAATCAAGTGCATGGCCAGGATCAAGTCCAGCCAGCTCTTGGGTATTGGCTGAGAACACAGTCCAAGCTGCAGGAACGTACCTAATGACCTGAGGTGGCAAGGCAGATATTAAGGGGTCTGCTCTCATCCTGTCACTATCCCCCTGCTCCTAGAGGACCAGTTTCTCCCTCTTTAGGGACTGGGCATGGGCCCCTATGCAGGCTGAGCTATCAGAGCCAGGTCAGGTGGGGTCCAGGGGCACATGGTAGACTCCTGGTACAGAGCATACAAGGGAAGTGGTAGGCATAAAGAAGCCTCCTACAGTGGTGGTTTGTGGGGAGCAGGACTTTCTTCCTGCTTCCATGGCTCTGGGGTTTCCAATCTTCTTAGACCCTTTGTGCTAACCTGGGCTCATTAGAAACAGCATGGCTAAGTAGAAGGAACACTACCCCCAGCTCCTCATGGCCTTCCCTTTCCTAGCAGTTCCTGACCCCTAGAAGCTCCCACAAGGGAATACCAACCCTGCAGGTATCCCGCACCAGGCAAAGCAGAGCCCCAGAGCCCTGGCTAGCTAGCCCTCAGCCCTGATCCCAGGATGGATAGCAATGGCTGATGTTTGTGGAGTAACCACTAAGTATCAGGCACTGTTCTCACATGTTGCCTGCAGTAGCATGCTCAGTTCTCACGGTTACTGTCTGAGGTCACTGGAGACTCAGAGAAGCCAAGTGCCTGGCTCAAGGCCATACTGCTGGTTGAGGGAGTGCCACACCTTAGGCACAGGTCTGTCTGAGTCTGGAGCCTTAGCTTTAAGAATGGTGCCGAGCTGCCTCTCATGGAAGGCAACTGGCAGGAGGCAAGCGGCCAGTGTCCTTGGAGCCCCCCAGGAGGGTAGGACCAGACCACCCCCAGGAAGAACAGGGCCAACACCTGCCAGACACATGGCAGGCCAAGATCAGAATACTGGTCAGAGCCCATAGCTTTCACTCTGTGTCCACCAGGGTATAGATGTCCAGCACTTTGATGTGTCCCTGGCTTCCCAGCCCAAGAGGAGTCCACTCTTCTGGCAATTGGCAGCACCAGACAATTAACAGTAGAGAATAACTGCTTCTGGCTGTGCCAGCAGCCCATTTTGGTTGATGAGACAGGGAAGTTCAGATGCTGAGACAGGCCTCCCAAGGCAGGCCACAGTAGGGGACAGGCAACAAGGCTATCAGGAAGGGCCACCAAAGCAGGGGCTGCTATATCTCAAGGCCCCAGCAGGGGTCCTGAGTGACTGGAGCCTTGGCCTTCATGCCCTTGGACAGCATGACAGCTTGGGCCCTGTCATGGTCCTATTGTCTCTGTCCAGGCATCTGGAGGACACAGGCAGGGGTTCCGGTAGCCAGGGTCTTGAGTAGAAGGTGCTGGTGCAGCTGTCAGCTGGGCTGAGGTTTGTGGGAACAAGGGGTGCACCAAGTGTACAAACCAGAAGTGGGAGCCCAGAGTGAGGAAATGTTCATCAGTGAGCAGCAGACTCAGCAGCCTAGAGCTGGCAGGATGGGGTGGAGACCCTACCCAGCGCTGACCATGCGTGTGTGTCTCCGGCCCCCAGACAGAGCTGTGACCTGGCACCATTTGCAGCTGATGAGCCTGCCCACCATGGCAAGCCCCACTCTGAGCCCCGACTCCTCATCCCAGGAAGCCCTGTCAGCCCCCACCTGCTCCCCCACTTCTGACTCTGAGAACCTCAGCCCTGATGAGCTGGAGCTGCTGGCCAAGCTCGAAGAACAGAACCGGTGAGTTAGAGCCTAGGAACGGAGGGGGTGTGCACAGTATAACCTGGGCCCCAAACAGCAGTTTCTGAGTGTGGCCTTGGGCAAAGTCATAGCCGCCACCAGAGGCAATGTCATCCTCCTAACCCCAGGCGAACAGACAGCTCCCCATTCAAGTGAGGAGACCAAAGTTTCAAGAGGCAGAGTCAATCTGTGAACCTGGCCATGTTTCTCAAGCCTTTGTTGGACAGAAGAGTCCAGTCTCTGACTCCAGGGTCAGGCTTCCCACCTTTTTCCTCTAGCCCTCCTCTTGCTTTAAAATGTGGGTTTATTCCCAAAACACTAATTTGACGAATATATGCACCACCGTGTTCACTGCAGTGTTATTTACAATAGCTGAGATTTAGAAGCAGCCCCCAAGTGCCTGTCAATAGGTGCATGGATAAAAAAGCCATGGTATATTTACACAATGGAATATGACTCAGCCATTAAACAGAATGAAATCTTACCATTTGCAACAGCATGGATGAACCTAGTGGGTATTATGCAAAGTGAAATAAATCAGTCAGAAAAAGACAAATACTGTATAATTTCACTTGTATGTGTAATCTAATGAACAATGTAAACAAACAAACAAAACAGAAACAGACACATAGATATAGAGAACATCTGATGGTTGCCAGACAGAAGGGGTTTGGGGATCTGGGTGAAAAGGACGAAGGGATAGAGAAGTACAGATTGATAGTTCCAAGCAGTCATGGGGAGGTAAAGCGCAGCACAGCAAATACAGTCAATAATATTGTGATAACTGTGTGTGGTGCCAGGTGGGGACTGGAAGTTTTAGGTGGGACACTTTCTGAAGTATACAATTGTCTAATCACTATGCTGTATACCTGAAATTAACACAAAATAATATTCAATGTAAACTAATTGAGAAAACAACAATTTTAAAAAAAGGAGTCCTACTGGTACTTAACAGACACATACTCCCTGAAGCCCTTTAAATCTGCCCTGGCTTTCCTCCTTTGGCATGTAAGTACCTTTAATTTTCCATAGTGTTACAGAAGAATAACGATTATATTCACGAGTAGGAATGTTTATTAAGTGAAAGGTGACCAAAAATAGTAACACTTCCTCAGTGTGTGCTTAGTGAACCTTTCTAGCAGAACAGAGGCAACAATTGAAAACTTTCAAATCATAGTTTTTGAGCTTTTGAAGTGACCTGTTATATAACTTGTCCTTTTCCACAAACAGTGTTATATAGCAAGATAAGTTTGTATAAAAATTACTATGTTCCCTTAATTATAATTAGAATTTTGATCAATTATGTTTTCTTATTTCCAAAACTTACCCCTTTTCTCCCAAAGTATAGCTTTAAATTAAAGGAAAATCTTTCAAATATTAAAAAATAAAATGTAGATCCATTATCATTCAGCTATGGCAAGGCCAGCAGATCGGGAAAGGACTGCCACTGAGAAGATAGTTTGTCACTCACAGTCCCCTAGAAGCAGGAGGCAGAGCACACCATGAAGGCCACACAGGGAGGTACAAGGGTCAGTCAAAAGGTGGACTGAGCCAGGGGGAAATTCAGGCAAGTACCTCCAACTGTAGTTTTGGAGAGAAGCAATGGGAAAGGTAGAGAAAGTAGGCCTGGGTTGGGCTAGCTGGAATAATTCTACGGGCTCTGGGGCATAGGGGTGGCTCTGGTTGCCTGGCACCTGGCCCTGTGGTGATCAGGATGGAGAGATAGTGGCCGTGAGTATGAGAGCCTGATAAAGCAGGGGTGGTAGTTTTGTGGGTTCTGGATTCAGTGATTTGCACATGAAAGACACACTGGGAAGTGAGTCCTTATCTCTAGGATTTAGGAAGGACTGGGAGGGGCAGACCCTCTAGAGTCAGCCAGGACCTAGCTGTCAAAGCATCAGGTTTCATACAACTTCTCCCTAGCTAGGTGCTTCCAGCAAGCAGCTCACCCTCTCTGCACCTCATCTATAAAACATGGATCTTAACAAAAACCTGCCCTTCAGGGGTGGTACAAGACTCAGTGAGTTAACCCACATGCTTCTCAGCCCAGTGGGCACAGAATGGGACAAACAAATGGCAGCCTCTGCAAGAACCCAAGGAGATGGACCACAGTTCAGAGAGCTTAGGGCTCTGGCCAACGTCACTCAACAAGTGCCACACAGCAAGAACAACTTAGACCCAATCCCTGGTGGCCTCTGGAATCCCTGGGAGGAGGGGCCAGGCTCCTCAGCAGCCACCTGTCCCCAGGGAGTCACTGAAGCCCAGAAATCTGGGTGGGAGGTGCCTACACCCCGGACTTGCCTCTACTGGCCCTCTCTGCCTAGGCTCCTGGAGGCCGATTCCAAGTCCATGCGCTCCATGAATGGCTCGCGGCGAAACAGTGGCTCCTCGCTGGTTTCCAGCTCCTCGGCCTCCTCCAACCTGAGCCACCTGGAGGAGGACACGTGGATCCTGTGGGGCCGAATTGCCAATGAGTGGGAGGAGTGGCGGCGTAGGAAGGAGAAGCTGCTTAAGGTGGCGGGGACGGTGGAGGTGGGTGGGTAGCTGGGCGGCCAGCAGGGGCAGGGCCCCGGCCCAGGCAGAGGGACAGAAGTAGAAGTGTGCAGGCACTTTCAGAGGGCTTTGCCAGAGGGAGAGGGGAGAGAGATCTGGCTGGGTAAGTAGCTATCACACTGACACCTCAGGGTCCTGTTTGTTTCCTGCCCCACTATGTTCTGTGACAGACTGGGGGTAGTACATTAAGCAGTGTAAACTCTGTCTGCAGTGCAAAGATGCAGCTGAGCTCCAGGCCACATGCATGGCATGGTCAAGCCTTGTCTTGGGGACTGGACTGGGTAGCTGTGAGGGGCTGCACTGGGACAGTGTCCAGCCTGGTCTCCTGCTGCCCACCTCATCCCCAGGAGCTGATCCACAAGGGCATCCCACACCACTTCCGGGCTATCGTGTGGCAGCTCCTGTGCAGCGCCACGAACATGCCAGTCAAGAACCAGTACTCAGAGCTGCTCAAGATGTCCTCGCCGTGCGAGAAGTTGATTCGCAGGGACATTGCCCGCACCTACCCAGAGCATGAGTTCTTCAAGGGCCAGGACAGCCTGGGCCAGGAGGTCCTCTTCAATGTCATGAAGGTGAGCCCACACCCACTACCCAGGACCCCTCACCCCACATGAACAAGCACTGTCCACGTTGCCTGCTGTCACTGCCCTGGCAGGATCCTGGCAGGACACTGCCCTGACACTGACATCCCCTTGCAGGCATACTCTCTGGTGGACCGGGAGGTGGGCTACTGCCAGGGCAGTGCCTTCATCGTGGGCCTGCTCCTCATGCAGGTAAGTGGCAGGGGCCAGGCTATGGCAAGGGCCAGCCCATCTGGGCTCTGCATCCAGGAAGTGGACAGAAGTAGAATGTAACCCTCTATCCAGAATTCTACAGTCAGAGCCTCCATCCTCCTCCTCTGATGGTCCCCGGGCCAAGCCCCCAGTGGGTGAGCACAGAGGGGCTAACTGCCTGTCCTGTCTACTGTACTGTTCAGGGGATGGAGGGGCAGACCGTACTACTCAGTCACCTCCCAGGGCTGGACAGGGAACTCCAAGGGGAAACTTAAGTCAGGCAGTGTAGAGCTTATGGGGGTTTTGTCCAGAAAATCCAGGAGGCTTAGGAAGGGGAGAACAGAGATGCTAGGAGTGGACTGAGAATGTCCCAACCATGGGCTCTGGGGGCAACCAGATCAGGGGCTCAAGTCCCAGCCCCACCGGTCCCTGCCAAGTGGCCTTTGGCAAATAACTTCAGCCTCAGGAGGTTTCCCATCAGCAAACAAGGGCAACCAGAAGTTTATTGTGAGAGTTCAGGCAGCCCACACAGTCCACATTCAATAGACATAAAGAGAATAGAAAAAGGCCAAGCACAGTACTCTGGGGACATAAGAAGAGCAGTGAGCGTCCCCTCCTACCCCTCCCACACTCACAGCCCCTGCTGGCCTGCCTATCCCCAGATGCCTGAGGAGGAGGCCTTCTGTGTCTTTGTGCGGCTGATGCAGGAGTACCGCCTTCGGGAGCTCTTCAAGCCCAGCATGGCTGAGCTGGGTCTCTGCATCTACCAGTTCGAGTACATGCTGCAGGTGAGCGGGACCAGGGTGGCCCTGCACCTCCCACTCCTCTGCAGCACACAGCCATGGGCACCAACCTGGGCCGCCCCAGTGGGTCTCTTTGACTGAAAATTCCAGGGCTGAAAAATCAGGTCCAGATTTCCCAGCTCAGAAAGGGGTTCTAGTCTCCAGGGGGCCATGTGGCACTGTCCCCAAGTATACTTCCATAAATGGCAGGGCCAGCCATTTATGGTGGGGGCTCCTGAGTGCTCTGGGCTCCCAGAGCCTGAGGGCAGAGGGGTTAGACTGGCTCTTGCCAGACACACCCACAGCCCCCTTGTCTACTCCCAGAGTGGCAGAAGGAGGGAAAGTGTCATCTGCCTACCTTAGATGATTAGGGGAGAGCTGTTTATCAACAGATCTTTCTGTTGATAAACAGCAGCCCCCATAGGGGCCGCTCTTGGCTGGAAGGCAGAGCAGGTGCATGCAAGAGAAGAACACACACATGCACGAGAAGAACACGCACATGCACATACATGTGCGTGTACACACATCTGGCCTGCTCCAGAAGCCCGTCAGAGTTGGGGCTGTGACACTGCACAGCAGCTGGGGGTAGGGGGTGGAGGGGGACAGGAGGTGGACCCTAGGATGAGCCTGGTCATGAAAGCCCCACTCCTCAGACCTGGAGGACTGGAAGGTACTATTGATCAAGGGGACCTGGTAGTACCAACAAGCAGGGGGCAGAGCCTGCAGAGAAGTGGCCCTACCCAGGCGGGGTAGCTGCAAGCTCCCACAGCAAAGTAGCTAAACAGCACCACAGAGCCCCTGGGTTTGCAGGGGAGCCCAGGGCATGTTATAGGGAGGGGGCGCCATAGTCCCTCTGCCAGTGAAGAACATCCAGGGGGTCCTAACACTTTCCTCAGCCTCTTTCCCCAGTTTTTGTCACTTTTCAGCAGTCTGAAGTTCAGGCCAATCAGGCTGGCATCCCCTGAGCTTTGCTGGGCACAGAGCATCGTGAGGAAGCTGTGGGGAGACACAGCAACTGGCAAGTTATTGAATACAAGTTGAGCTGCAGTGAGCTCATGCCATGCCCACCTCTCACTGTCTGGGTGGCCTTGAGGAGTTAGGCAAACCTACCCCAAGCTTCAGAAGCTTCCTGTCGGCTGGTCATGAGGATCCCATGAGCTGGGAGGAGGGCAGTCGGGCCAGTTCCTGCCCAGGGTGCACACCCAGCACCCATGAGCTGCTGGTACTCCTGCCACCCCTGCCTGTGTCCCCACCTCATGCTACTCAGTGTTCTGGGATGCTTCAGCCTCACCCAAACACAGTGCCAAGAGCACACAGAGGAAAGGAGCCAAGGGCAGATCAGAGAAGGCAGGGGCACTGAGACCCGGGGCACCTGTGGGCATGGACAGCTGTGCCTGGTGCTGGCTTCACAGTGCTGGCCTCCTCCCACCACCCTCAGGAGCAGCTCCCGGACCTGAACACCCACTTCCGTTCCCAGAGCTTCCACACATCCATGTACGCCTCATCCTGGTTCCTCACACTCTTCCTGACCACCTTCCCACTGTCCGTCGCCACTCGTGTCTTCGACATTTTCATGTATGAGGTCAGGACCCCTTCAGCCCCTTCTTCTCCCAAAAGCCCCACGCTGGAAATAAATACTGGCCAGGAAAAGGCCAGAGCTTGGGGAGGAGTCAGAGAGCTCCCCAGGAGAGCAGGACCAGAAAAGCACTGTCACCACCACCTTTGCAGGGCCTGGAGATCGTGTTCAGGGTGGGCCTCGCCTTGCTGCAGGTGAACCAGGTGGAGCTGATGCAACTGGACATGGAAGGCATGTCTCAGGTGGGTCAGGGATCCAGGGAAAGGTAGGGTTGCCAACCCCCAGCATGGGCACCTGAATCTTCCTGTGAGATGAGAGGGCCTGGCGCTCAGAGCAGCCTGATCCCTTCCTGTCCCCTGTGACCCCTGAGGCCTCTGTGGAGTACCAGGGGTCGGCCTTAAGGAAGCCCAGGCTCTGCCAGACACAATCCAGGGCCAGCAGCCTGGCAGTGGGGAGAGAGGAAGTCCCAGGCCCTGGCTCTGGAAGATCCCACCCCCTCCCTCAGGCCCAGCTTTGTGTCCCTCAAAGCCTTTGTGGCAAATAGTTATACTAGCCCAACCACAAGGCCTTGGGTGCAGTTGTGGGCCCCAGCAACTGGGCCAAGCAAGAGCACAGGAGAGAGTGAGGGGTCTGCCCTCCCCACCCTCCCACCCCCTGTTTTCCTGCCTGCTTCTCACTGCCATGCTCCCCCATGCAGGCCCCTGGCCCCTCCCAGTGTCCTCCAGCTGGTACTTCAGGGAAGAATACACAAAGGCCACGGTTGTGTCCACAAACACGAGTGTTCATTGTCCCCAGCTGCCAGAGGGGGGCAGCTGGGCTGGGAGCAGAAGCCAGCCTGGCCCCAGCCAACAGCAAGCTGTATCCACTGGTGGCTCATATTTAACCCTTTGTGGAGGCCTTGGGGGGCCCCAGGCAAGCAGGTGGACCACTGAGGGGTCTTCCCTCCAGGTTGCTCCTCGCTGCCCCAATTTCTTCAGTCTCCTCTGACTGCCATGGGGTATAATGTGCCTCTCCATGAAGGTGCCCTGTGTTCAGACCCCACCTCAACCCACTCCTGGGCCTTCACCCTCAGGAGCTCCCACGGCCTGCTTTTCTGCTGCAAACGGAAGTCCTGGGTGCAGGTAGCTTCTCCCCAGGTGCCTGCTTCTTATGCTTGTTTGCTCCACAATGACAGAGCACCCACAACTGGCAGGCTGGGCACTGCCCTGGGTACATGGTGACACCCCAGGCAGACCTGCTTCCACCCTCCCTCCTGGAGTACCCAGGCCCTCCTCCAGGGCAGCAGGCACAGCAGGGTCTCCCCTGCCCCTCCCCACCTCCCATAGTCACTGACCATCTGTGTCCCCACAGTACTTCCAGAGGGTGATCCCCCATCAGTTCGACAGCTGCCCAGACAAGCTGATCCTCAAGGCTTATCAGGTCAAGTACAACCCTAAGAAGATGAAGAGGTCAGTACCTGGCAGCAAGGGTGCTGGCAGGAAAGGGGTCTCTGAGGGTGGGACAGTGTCCACATCAGCCTTCTACTCTGCAGGCTCGAGAAGGAGTACGCTGCCATGAAGAGTAAGGAGATGGAGGAGCAGATTGAGATCAAAGTGAGTCCCTGGGGAGGGAGACAGGTACCAAGGCCCTTGGGAGCATCCCACCCCACGCAAGAAGCAGGCAGCCACTAGGGATGACCCTGCCCAATACACCAGGCACCCCAGACTGTCCTTAGGCTCTGGGTGTGTCCCTCCACCTGCTGCCCCTCACTCACTGCCCAACCAGTCTGAGGACCCACCTTGTGCTGGGGACCCAGTAGTGGTCAAGGTGGACCTGCCTTTATGGGGCTCCCATTGCAGTGGGGAGACAGTCAGTGAACCAGTAAGTATAGAGTATGCATGCTAGAAAGTACTCTGGGAAAAATATTTAGGGCAGATTGCTGCAGGCCCAGGGAACCGAGTGCTGAAGTTCAACTCTCTGACACATGGTTGGGTCTCCTGGCAACCCGCTGTGGGCCTGAGGGGCTAGAAGAACATCAGGAAGGCTGCCCTTGATTGGGAGCCCCAGGGCCAGGGGCAAGAGGGGAGCCCCAAGGCAGGCTGAAGCCAGATGCCGGAAGGACAGGCCAGGGTATAGCACTCACACATGGCCCCTGGATCCCCTGGTGCCTGGCCAGCCAGCCGTACTAGGTTTGGGGGTACAATTCTGTCCCAAGCTCCACTGTGTGGGTTTCTCCCCGCACCACCAAGCAATTCTCCAACAGCAGCTGGGTGTCCTACAATTCAGCTCAATTCTGACACCATCTACCTGGAGGAGGCAGCATCAGAGCCCACAGGTTAAGGGCACTGTCCCACAAGACTGCTGCTTCCCTGTTCAGAAGCCAGTCTCAAGTCCAGATTGTCACCTGTGCTCCTGATCAGCTGGCTATAGATCACAGGTTCCTGTGATTCCCCTCCTCAGGCCTGATTAATTTGCTAGAGTGGCCCACAGAACTCAGAGAAACATTACTTGCTAGATCACTGCTTTGTTATAAAGGGTCCAAGTCAGGAACAGCCTGAAGGAAGAGATGCTCGGGGCCTGAATGGGGAAGGCCACAGAGTCCCCCCACACCCTCTCCATGTGCACCACCCTCACAGCACCACTAACCACTCACCAACCTGGAAGCTCTCCAAACTTTATCCGGTCGGGTTTCATGGGATTTCATTACACAGGCATCACTGATTACATCATTGGCCATCAGCGACTGATTCAACCTCCAATCCATCTCCCCCAAAGATCTGGAGATAGAACTGAAAGTTCCAACCCTCTGATACATGGTTGGGTCCCCTGGCAACTAGCCCCCATCCTTAGGTGACCAAGGGGCTTTCCAAAGTCACCTCGTTAACAAAACAAAAGACACCTTTATCCCTCTCCTCACTTAGGGAATTCCCAGGATTTTAGGCGCTCTGAGCCAGGACTGAGTGGAAGACCAAATATATATTTCTTGCTATAAGTCACAATATCACAAAGAGTTTCCTGAATGTGCAGAGTCTCTGGACCCAGTCTTCCCACCCTCTTTCCCTCTGCTTTCATCCCTCAAACATGATTTTAATTATTCATTCAACAAACATTTATTGAGCACCTACTTTGTGCCAATCACAGCAGAGACAGAGGGCTCCCAGTCCAGTGGGGATAGAGGCACCCACATAAAGACAAACCCCAACACAGCCTTGCTCTGTCCTGTCTACACACTGGCAGAATCCCACAGTGGCTGGGTCTGGATTCCCACAGAGGAGGGTTGAAATCCCAGCTCTATTGCAGACCAGCTGTGTGGTCTAGGAAGGTGAATTCACCTCTCTGACACCTCTCAGTGTCTCCTTCTGCACAATGGGAATGACACTTGCTCTGCTGTTCAAATCAGTATTATTATCACCACCACTGCTCTAGTCATCCCTACCTCCTCTGGAAATGCAGAGGCAGAAGCTAGATTACAATTCAGGTCACCTGCCACCCATACCTGAGCGGGAGAGAGGGCATCATTTGTCCCTGTTTGTAGGACTTCCAGAAATAGTTTTGTGTCCTTAATTTTTAAGCACCTGTCTTTCTCAGGAGTGGCAACCTGACAGATGCACCTGTCCAAAAGTGTGTGTGTGTGTGTGCACACGCATGTCTTGCTCATACACAGACAAGGGCCTGCTCCTATCTGGTGACTATGAGGGCCTAGCAATAGGGAGGCACACGGCAGACCCTCAACCACATGCCCAGCCTGGAAATTTCCCACGAGAGGATCCTTAGCACCGAACAGGTCTTACAGGACTCAGACAGGGCCTTCTCCCTTGGCCCTGCCCTGTGCTCTTTCACCTTTAGCCTGTTTTAAAATGTACCTGGGATTTGTTTTAACCAGGTATGGTAGGGTGGCCGACACAGAGACAACTTCCTTTGAAAGAACAGTTTGTTGCTCACGGTTCCCAAAAAGCAGGGCCACCACACCATGCAGGCCACATGGGGAAGCACCAGGGTCAGTCAGGAGACAGTGGGATCAAGGGGGAGAGCAGGGGCCACAGTCTCTATTGTGGTTTTCCAGCAAAGGTATGGGCAAAGCAAGGTAGGCAAGTTTAGTGAGTTCAGGATTGACCAATTTGAATAATTTCGGGGGCTATAGGAGTGGTCCCTAGCTGTCCTGTGGCAATTTAGGACAAGGGAAATATTGGTTTGGTATGTGGAGTTAAATAAGAAAGGGGGGTACTCTGGATTGGCTGGTTTGCTTTGGCAGGCAGGTTGTTTACTATCTGTAGGAATTAACTAGTCCTGGGGGTCTGTCTCTCCAGGATTTGAAAGGCCGCAGGATGTCAAAGCATCAAAAATACAGAAAAAAATTTTCAAAGTCCCACTAGTACATAGCACCCCACACACACAATTCTTGTTTTCTTTCTCATTTTCACTTTTGAATAAACAGGAGAGTTTTCAGTGGGGCCCATCCAGCTCCTCCAAGGATGGCCTGTGCTTATGCCAAAGAGACATCAGAGAAATTGAAAGGTCATGGGTCAAGACTCTGGATTCCAGATCACTGTGAGAGGCAAAGAGCTGTGCTTTAAACAGCTTGGGAGGCTCAGGAAAGACACTGTCCCCCTCCGATAAGTTTCCCCATCTGTGACATGAGTCAATAGGCATCAGTTTAGTCTGCCACCTCTCTGACCAATTGCTTCCTAGGAATGTTCTGGATGTTTCCATCACCTTTTTCTCCCTGGGAGAAACCAGGAAATGTTCTGTGTGATCCACAGGGAGGCAGGGCCCTCATCAATGTTCTGATCGAAACTGTGTACCTACTTCTTAACAAGCACATACGTAGAGACTAAATACAAGGCGCATGAAAACCTCACCTGCTGTAGGGAAACCTAAAACCACGAATATCTAACCAGAATCCACCAGGGCAGGATGCAAGATAAAAGCAAGGGAGCTGGCCTCCCCCTAGCTTGGGGGGAAGTGACAACTGTCTGGCACAGCTAGATGGCTATCAGTAGGTCACAGAGATGTAGTTGTCAAGCTGAAGGAAGCATGGGTGTTCAGCAAGACCCCTTTTCCTGGACCCAAATTTTGAGAGGAGTTTGTCTACTGAGATTGAACCCTGGGACTAGAGGCAAAGCAGTGAGTGGTAGAGGTTGTCTGATAGCAGCTTTTGCCCTGTGGGAGGTAGACAGGCCCAGGCATGGGATAGAAACAGATCCCCAAGGAGGGCATGCATGCATCCCACACACAGTGTGTATCCACAAAAGTGCTCACATTATTTTTACTCAACCAAGGCTTAGTTTAAAAACAAACAAACAAAATCTAATGAGCCATCTGAATGGGGCTTAGCCCTGTTTTCTGGGATCACTGGCCCTGAATGTAAGCCTCTGGGTCTGTCCTGGCCGGTGGTGCCCTGGGGGACAGACCTCTGTGTAGAAGTGGAGGCAGGATCTGATGCGCTCTCCCCTCTCTCCACATAGAGGCTTCGAACGGAGAACCGGCTCCTGAAACAGCGGATTGAGACCCTGGAGAAGGTGAGGGGTATGGCCATCAGCCTATGGCACTAAACCCTCCAGGCCCCAGGCAGGACCCAGCAGCCAGAGGCCCAGCCAGCCCCTTGCTCCAGGCCCAGGCCCCACCAGGAGCCCCACTGAGATTAGAGCTGCCTTATAATCTGGCTGAGGGAAAATTTAGTTTAGGGCTCAGGGTTGAGTTATAACCTGGTTACCTGCAAACACCACAACCCATTTGTGTACGGTGCCCTCCAGGGCTGCCTGGGAGGAGAGGAGGAGATAGAACTGCTACTTTGACTATGGTGGCTGCAACTGGGCCATAAAGCACCCCACCCATCCTGTAATCTGAAAGCCTTGCCCTCAAAAGAAAGGAGATGGGAGTGGAGAGGTAGGGGGCGCTCTTGCCACCAGCTCCATTGTAAGGTACCACAACCTTGATCCTGGCTCCAAACTTTTTTTTTAAGATTTTATTTTTTAGAGGGGAAGGGAGGGCGAAAGAGGGAGAGAAACATCAATGTGTGGATGCCCCTTGCACAACCCCTTCTAGGGACCTAGTCCACAACCCAGTCATGTACTCTGGGAATCAAACCAGAGACCCTTTGGTTCTCAGACTGGCACAGAATTCACTGAGCCACACCAGCCAGGCCAGCCCCAAACTTTTTTTTACAGGTGGAAGTGGAGGTGGGGAGGCCCCCACTTTCTGCTCCACCCTCATTTTCACTTGATCCTCCACTGACCACAGGTTGTCCACAGGATTTTATTGCCCTTGCCCCAAGACCTCCATTCTTGTTCAGCCTCTGATTGAAACTTTCTGAGTTTTCCCCATTGGCCCAAGCCTGGCTGAACCTAGACAGGGCAGCTATGGGCACCTTCGCCTCCCAGTTCAGCTCACACACACAGACCCCACTCCTGGAAGGAGCTGGCTCTAGGTTTGGTCTACCTCCAGGTCCTGTCCTGCTGGTTCTCTGGTTCTCGGGTTTCACGCCTGTCTCCCCTGCTTCTAGAGATAGTCCACTGCATTAGTGACAAGTGGTTCTTGTCTGTCTCTCCCCCTCTCCTGTCCCCGTGCCTTCCGCTCTGCCTCCTCCCTCTGTTGCTGGGAACCCCCTCGCCTGGTAGGAGAGCGCTGCTCTGGCTGATAGGTTAATCCAGGTACTGTAGCTTTTCATCTCACTCTTCCTAGTCTACATGTGACAGCCAATAATGGGCTCTCCCCTGGTCACTGCTATTTCAGGGGCGAGGGGTGAAGGATTGGTACCATGCATGGGGGTGGCTAGGGACTGCTTCTCAAAGACAGAGGTGTCCTTCTAGAGGAGGGGGCTGTGTGTATGCAAATGTGGCATCTGGGTGTGTCTGTGAGTATAATACATGCACAGGGACACAGAGCCCCCTCCCTCCAGAGGACACAGGAGGGGTCAGGAACCCTGAGGGTGCATCTACAACAGGCCTTACCATGTGCTGATCCCCCACCACCACCACCCACACACCTCCCCACCCCTTCTGGCCCTTCACTCTCCTCTCTGCTGCCCCCTGCAAGGCCTGCCAGCTTCTCTCATTCACCAGCTTCTGCTTCCTCATCTTGAATGGCTTTATCTGGAAGCTTCTGCCTGCTGCCTGGTGGCTCGGAGCCTGGAATGGGGGGACCCACATTGGGTGGGATGAGGGGATGAGGCTGGTTGAGTGGATCTTATCCCTTGGCAGGTAGAGGCCCCAAGGTCCAGGGTTGGGGAAAGCCAGGGGACAGATGTATTCCACCTGCCCACCCTGCCCCCAATGCTCAGCTGCCCCCACCCTCAGTGGCAGAGCCCAGCCTCTGGTGTGCCATCATCCATGGATAAGGACTTGCTTCTCCTCCCGTGGGACAGAGGCCAAACACCAGAAGCTGGGAGGGGACGGAGCTGTCAGCAGCCCCAGCCATGGGGTCTCCATTTAACCCTTACAGAGCCCAGGGCCCAAGGGGGTGCGTGTCTTTCTCCAGGCTCCTCCTGGTGTCCTGTACCTGCCTACCCCTCACTCTTGTCCCCAGGCCCTGAGGGGTACCCATCCCAGACTCTAAATGAAGGAGGCCTCTCCCTCTCCCTCTTTGGCTCTCCTCGGGCCTCCCCCTCACTGCCCCCTGTCCTCACTGGGCTCAGGGACAGGTGACACGGGCACAGGAGGCCGAGGAAAACTATGTCATCAAGCGGGAGCTGGCAGTGGTGCGGCAGCAGTGCAGCTCGGCAGCAGAGGACCTGCAGAGGGCACAGAGCACCATCCGGCAGCTGCAGGAGCGGCAGGTACCAGGAACTGCTCACCACCACCCGGCTGCGGGCTGAGGGGTCAGCCCTATAGTTCCTAACTAGCATGTGGGGGCAGCACCCAAAACCAAGTGCATATTCTCCCCCAGCCATCAGCCCCTGACCCAAGGGAGACCCCTGTGATTTCCATGTTCCACCACCTGCTTGGGTGTTTGGCCCTCCACACTGAGACTGAAGCAGCCAGCTTCTTCTGCCTCTAGTCTCAGAGTAGGAACCAGGCTGTCCCTGCAGGGCCCCCTTCCTGGCACAGGCATTAGACCTTAATGGGTGGTATTGTGATTTCTTGGCATCTCCTCAAAGTCTTCAGGGCTATTACGCTTCCCCAGGGGGCAGCCCTGCAGGGTAGGAGCTAGGATGGGGACAGGAGGAGGCACCCTCCTTCAGTACTCAGAGAGTCTGGTCTGTGCCCAATGCCCTGAGCTGGCAGGGTGGGAATGAGGCAGCCCTGCAAGTCTGTTGTGGGGTGTTGAATGTAGTGTCGGGAGGACTCACAGGGCTAGAACACTAGGCAAAGGATCTGCTTCTCCCTAAGGTGGCTTTTAGAACCTTCCTTCAGCTCTACCCATCAGGCTTCCTTCCATACCTGATGACCTGCCAGCAGCTGCAGCCCCCAATCTGAGAGTGTTCATGGGGGCCATGCCCTGGAGGGGCAGGGAAAGATGCTGTAGGCTCCTCGGACCCCTGCAATCCAGGCCTGATCCCAGCAGAGCATGGCAGCAAGGTGGGGTCCCTGATTTACAGAAACCACAAGTGCCCAAGAAATAATGGGTAGGGAGAAGGAAGGGTTGTTCCTTGGGAGACCCCCTCAACCAGGCCCGGAGACCTTGGCTCAGGCATTAATTCAGGAATTTGGCACCCATGGATCTCAGAGACCCAAAGTGGTGGAGGGCAGCAAGCAGACCTGGGTACTGGGTAGGAGGCCAGTGGGGAAGTAGGTGGTATCAGGCAGGGACAGGGTCTGGGGGGATGGGGCTGGGGCAACCTCCCAGAGAACCACCCTGCCAGGCCATGGGGCACTGAGATTGGGACCCAACTCCAGCCCCAGGAGCTTTCCTGCAGCTCCAGCTGCAGGTCTCCTTTACTGGGCCCAAGTGGCACCTGTCTGAGAAGCCTCAGCACTGAGAAAGAAGTACCCCAGCAAACTCTTTTCCCATCCTTTCCTGTTTTGAAATGGAGGAGGGGAAAGGAAGAAGGTGAAGAAAGAGGGACATGAGTGCCACATCCCTGAGTCCTGCCCTACCACAGCCTACCATGTGACTAGTCCACAAGCCATACAGCAGGAAGGGTGCCTTGAAGAACCCATCCTCCGCACCCAGTCCAGCGATCCTGGGAACAGCCAATAGCATCCCTCAGGGCTATCCTGAAGCCATGGAAGGTCCCCTTCTAAAGATTCCCTCTGTGTGACTTTCCCAGAAAGGAGGCTACGTCTGGTCATCAGGGTCCCCATGATGGGATTCAGCTCTCCTCCCAAGAGGGCAGAAGGCACAGGAAGAGGATCCAGGGTTTATCCTCACCCCCCTCCCATCCTCCCACAGACTGAGCCTCCTCCCAGCCCAGGGGCTCTGTGAACTAGGGGCCAAGTCCTGGGCTCACAGCCAGCCGGCAGGAAGGCTCCCCACCCTCCAGCTGCAGCTTGGCCTGATGCAGCCCTCCACCTACCCCCAGGAAAACCCTCGCCTCACTGAGGACTTTGTGGCCCACCTGGAAACTGAGCTGGAGCAGTCACGGCTTCGGGAGACAGAGACATTGGGAGCCCTGCGAGAGATGCAGGACAAGGTTCTAGACATGGAAAAGGTGGGATTGAGCAGGCCAGTGTTGGGGGGACTCTGGGAAAGGGGAGGTGGGGTGCTGCATGTGCTTAAGGAGGTACACGACCAGGCCTGAGCCAAGGAGAAGGGCTGCCGGTGGGGGGGGCGGGGGGCAGTGTTCTGGCATCATATTCCCTTGCATCAGTAGTCCCTGAGGGACCCAAGACCACCTCCCCCATGGTCTCCCCAGGAATGTCTGGGCAGATGGCAAGTGGGTCCTTCACTTCTAAAACCGTCTCCGGTCCTAGAGGTAAACACACAAACACACACACATCAGGGCATCCCCATCCTTGTGCACTATGCACCAGCACTATAATGGCTTCCATGGGCTTCCTGGACAGCCTGCCCCACCTGTGCATCCCTTCAGTCCTTAGGTTCCAGGAGGGAGAGAAAAGGAAGAAAGACCCCAGCCCAGCAGGGCTGCTCACCCAACCCCCACCTCCAAGGAGATGTCACCCAGGGGACAACTAAGGGCCACCCTCTCCTGCCTGCAGCCCTGAAGGGGACCCCAGGCCTCCTGGGTCCCTCCCCAACTTCTTTCACACCGACTCAGTATTGACTCAGCTTCCACAAAGCTGCCAGACGAGGGCAGCAGCCACCCCAGCCACCTGGAGCCTGCCCCTGCCAGGTGTCTGCCACAGCCTCTCAGTCCCCCAGCCCAGAGCTGTGCTTTCTTCCACCTCCCTCCACCTCAGAGGGAAATGTGCACCCAGTAGTCCCTGCCTCCCAGATCCAAACAAGGGTCTGTGAGGTCCTAGGGCAGCAAGCTGGATTTTGTTGCAAGAGGCAAGAACACAAATCTCCCATCCCTGAACCATTGGGAGGCCAGGACTGACCCTCAGTGGGTTCTCAGGAAGAGGGGCTGCCTGGGAGGAGGCAGGGCACAGGGTTTGGAGGCTCAGTCTTCTCAGCCTCTGCTGGGACAGGTCCCAACTCTGGTCATAGTCCCCATGGGGGTGGATCTCAGATTCCCAGGTGGGTAGGCGCCAGTCCTCACCTAGCCTGTCTGGTGTCCTCAACAGTAATACTACAGAGGCCTCACACTTTATGGGGTTGCCCTAAGCCAGTCCTCTGAGAGAGGAGGTGCTGTTCGTACAGCAATTTTGTAGGTGAGGATTTGTAGCTGGGGCCACAGAGAGAGATCTGCTCCCCACAGGCCTGGTCCACCTTTCCAACAAAGCCTAGGCTCAGGGTGGACCCTCTCCTAGCCACTGCCCAAGGTACAGCTCAGAAGAAATGAGAGGTGGCATCTCAGCCCTCAGGAAGGGGTTGCACAGCTGCTGGCTGCCCTAGACTGACTGCTCCCATTCCCCTCAGAGGAACAGTTCACTGCCTGATGAGAACAATGTGGCCCGGCTGCAAGAGGAGCTGAAGGCGCTCAAGGTGCGAGAGAGCCAGGCAGTGGCCTCTGCAAGGGAGCTGAAGCTACAGCTGCAAGAGCTCTCAGACACCTGGCAGGTGAGGGCCTGACCAGAGGGCAGGAAGCAACCCTGCAATCACGAGGTCTGCCACCCTCTGGGCCTAGGGGGCCTCAGAGCCGCTGAGCTGACCACAGGCTTCTGTCGGCAGGCCCATCTGTCCCGCGGGGGCCGCTGGAAGGAGTCCCCACGGAAGCTGGTCCTGAGCGAGCTGCAGGACGAGCTGATGAGTGTGCGTCTGCGCGAGGCCCAGGCTCTGGCAGAGGGCCGCGAGCTGCGGCAGCGCGTGGTAGAGCTCGAGACACAGGTGGGCTGCAGCCGCCCTCTCAGGGAGGGACTTGGTATCCACGGTCGGCCCCCTGGCTAGCCCATGACCCCTGTCTGTGCGTCCTCCATCCCCCAGGACCATATCCACCGCAACCTTCTGAATCGTGTGGAGGCAGAACGCTCGACGCTGCAGGAGAAGCTACAGTACTTGGCAGCGCAGAACAAGGGGCTACAGACGCAGCTGAGTGAAAGCCGCCGCAAGCAGGCTGAGGCCGAGTGCAAGGTGCCCCTCTCCCGGATCCCGCCTTCCCACCCCCACCCTTGGCTGCCTCACTCTTGACTCGCCCTCTCCCCACTGCCCTCAGAGCAAGGAGGAGGTGATGGCCGTGCGCCTGCGAGAGGCGGACAGCATGGCGGCAGTGGCTGAGATGCGGCAACGCATCGCAGAGCTGGAAATCCAGGTGCTGGGTGGGGCGCGGCAGGGCGTGGGGCAGTGTGGGGATGGGATACCACCTGACCCCTACACCCTGGCTTTCCCGCAGAGGGAGGAGGGCCGCATCCAGGGCCAGCTGAACCACTCAGACTCCTCGCAGTACATCCGTGAGCTCAAGGACCAGATCGAGGAGCTAAAGGCCGAGGTGAGCACGGGAGGGGCCCGAGAGCCCAGCATGTCCTCAGCTGGTGACAGGCCAGGAGTCAGTGCCCAGGGTGCAGGAAAGAAGGGTGCTCAGCACCACGTGAGTCCACACCTCCAACATGCCGGTCCCACCCCAGGTGCGGCTATTGAAGGGCCCGCCGCCCTTTGAGGACCCGCTGGCCTTCGATGGGCTAGGCCTGGCACGACACCTGGATGAGGACTCTCTGCCATCGTCAGATGAGGAGCTGCTGGGCGTGGGTGTGGGTGCAGCCCTGCAGGATGCACTCTACCCGCTGTCCCCTCAAGATGCGCGCTTCTTCCGCCGTCTGGAGCGGCAGGCCAAGGACAGCGAGGGCAGCTCGGACAGCGACGCCGACGAGCTGGCCACACCCTATAATCAGGGCCTGGACAACTGAGGCCCTGTCCTTGAGCCCAGAGCCTGGGGTGGAGGATTGGAGGTACCTCCCTGGGCCTCCAGGGCCACACTTAAACTCCACACCCACCCCAAGGGGTGTGGCAGGGTGCAGAGGGTAGAGTTGGAGCCTGATGATCCTTCAGGGTACCTGTCACACTCACCCTCCCCAGCACTGTTTAACCATCATGGTCTGCACCCCCCAGGCCCAGTTATTTGGAGGGTCTGCCCCTGTGAATGAAGGGCACAAGAGGACACAGAGGTCCCAGGACTGGAGAGCAGAAAGCTCCCTCTTCCTACCCGGCCTCCTTCTGGGACAAGGAGGGCCCTGCTGGGAAGGGCCCAGGAGCTGGAGGAGGCCTGAGGAAGGAGGAGCCACTCTGGCCTGGATGTCAACACCCCATGGTGCCCCTGGGGACCCTTGGCAGCCAGGGACAGATGGCCAAGCTGGGCTTTCCTGCCTGATGCAGGTCTTGTGGCCCCCGAGCAGAAACCAAAGTGCCCCCTACTGTGTGCAGGCCCACCTGGGGTGCACACAGCCAGGGAGCCAGATGGGGGCAATGTCTGTCCCTGCTTCTTGGGGCTAGAGCAGCAGTACAGAAGTCAGGAGACCCTGTCCCCAGCACCCCTCTATGAGACACCTCTATCACCCCATCTTGATGGAGGCGTTCCCCACCCAGGCTAGCCTCCTCTCCAAGGGGTCCCCAGCCTCTACTTCCTTCCTTCCCTGGGTCCCTAGCCCCACCCTCCAGCCAGGGCCAGGCCCCAGGGGAGGAGGCTGCTCAGAGGAGTGGTGTCCTCATGCCTCCCTCCTCATGGTGGTCCCGTGCGTCTCTGCAGAGTCAGAGCCAAGAACGGTGCCAAAGTCCAACCATGCTCCCCAGACCCCTCCCCACAAGGGACTTCTGATGCTCTTGGGGCTCCTGGAGCCTGGAACAGCCTCACAAGCAGCCTCCTTGGCACCTCCTGGAGTGGGGAATTCATGTTCAGTGCCCGTTTCCAGTTACCCACTTCTCAGTGTTACAAAGCCTGGGGACCAGGGTGGGCATCACAGGGCTCTCCCATGTGCCTCCCACACTGCCCACCACCATTTTGCACACTGCCTGTTCATACTCCACATGTTTCCCAGGTGGGAATAGAAAATAAAGTGTATTTACACAGTGACAGACAATGGATGCTGAGTGGGGCAGGCCTGGGAGTAAAGGGACTGCAAGCAACCTCAGGGCCCCAGCTGGTCATCCAGCAAAGCATAGGGAGGGGAGCAGACTGTCCTTGTCTTTGGGAGCATCCCAGAGGGGTAGAGGTCATAGCAGGCCAGCAGGGGGTCCAAAGAGGTGCCCAAGCTGGGGTGCAGCATGAAGGAAGAGTACATGCTGGGTCAGTGTGAGAAAAAGTGTGAGGTTGGGGAGAGACAGTATGCGGGGAACAGGTCAGAGAGGATCTCGGTGTCAGGCTCACAGATGAATGCTGACAGCCTGGCATTTTCAGAAGGGTGGCCCTGGAGATGGTGAGGACAAGGAGCGTGATTTCCCTCCTGGGTGACTCAGCTTGGGCCTCCCCTGAGACAAGTGGAGCAATTCGAAGTCTTAGGGTCTAGTTGTGTTCATTCAGCACATACTTCCTGAGACCTTCCTGGAGCTCTGCCCCATGCCTGGCTCTAAGTGATCCCCAGGTTAGTCAAGGTAACAGACACTGGTACAGGGACAGGGGCCAAGCCTTCATGCTGATGTGACAAGTGCCCAGTAGGTGAATGAGCAGGAGATAGGGAAGATTTCCTGGAGGAGGGGTGCCAGAGCCAGATCCAAAGGCAAAAGCATAAAGGCAAGACATGGCAGGGACGAGGGGAAGCACATGATAGAAGGAACAGGAGAAAGTGGGCATGGCCAGACCAGGAAGGGGTTTCTTCCATTGGGAGCCAGTTTGCACTTCTGAACTGAGGACACAGGGGTGCTATGGGGGGCTTAGGTGAGGGGAGCACCATCAGATAGACCACAGTGTTGGGGATTAGTGAGGAGGCCAGGGCAAAGACCAAACTGAGCTGGACAGTGGGGAGAGTGAATGGGGGCTCCCCTCAAGTGAAAGGGGCCTTCTGAACAGCAGGGCAGGATGCCAGTTATGCTCCGGGACAGCCAAGTTCCACATATTGTCCCATCATTCAGCAGCTCCTATGAGCCATGCACCATTCCCATCACAGAGATTTAACAGTAAGACTCAACCAGTTTTTATCTCCATGGCTCCCACAGGGTAATTCATACCCCATGATGGCACAGGGCCCCTAAGGTCTAAGTTTCTGCCCTGCTCACTCTTGGGGTTGGCCTTGAGGCCCCAGCTGCCCAGTAGGTTATGAGCCAACCCCTACCTTTGGGCATGTCTCACATTCTGGAAAGAAAGACCCATGGGTCCTTGCCATGGCTCAACTAGAAAATGAAACTCTGGTTTGCCACAGCACACATTGGCTTGGAGGGGTGGAAGTAGTGTCCAGCTGGGACAAGGTTCATTTCTCCTCAGACCCTAAGTTGGGAGGCCCCCACATCTGGGGTGGGGATAGGCAGGACTGGGCGATCTGTGTCTCACAGGAACCCGGCTACAGAGTGGACTATGAGAACTGGGTCTAGGGGCAGAAACAGGGCTGAGGGTACAACATGGAGTCCTGCTCTTTTCTTTTACCTACCTGGGGATTGAGGTCCCTGCCAGGCCTCCATCATTCTTGGTGTGAAGTAGGATGCCCTTATGGAGAAAAGGCCTGGAGGTGTTTCTTGAAGGAGTACTTGGGAGGAAGGGCCTGGGCAGGGGCTTAGGGAGTCCAGGAGTTGGTTAGCTTTGGTGACATCCGTGATTGTGAGGTACAGACAGAAGTGCCTGGCTGGAGGGATTTGGAAAGAATACCCTAAGTTGGGAGGAAAGGTGAGGCCCATGGTTTGGGAGCCATTAAGGGGCATGGTGAGGACATCCTGGTCTCCCTACTCAGCCTTGGAAGAGAGGCTGCTCCTTCCCTACAGATCCCTCCCTATCCTATCCCAGGAGGGCCCTATTCCCTCTGCCTGGTCATTTTGAGGGAGCCACTGCCCAGCTTCAGGGCTTCCCTGCACTGCAGCCTCCTCATAAGCAGAGGGCATTAGGGCATTGCGTCCTGGGTAAGAAGGCCCAGGAAGGAAGAGAGAGGCCAGGGGTCTCAGGTGATCCCTCTCTCCCAAGGTAGGAGGATGCACACTGAGAGGAGGGAGAGGCCCTCACTCTGACCTCCAGCAAGACCCTCCCACTTCTTCTGCCTCCCGAGGAGTTCTGGCTCCCCTGGCCCAGTGTAGGAAAAGCTCGAGTCCTTCATCCATGCTGGCCACGTACTAGCTTACCCTCTTGGTGGTGTGGACTCATCTGGGTCCCTCCTGCACCTAAAGTTTACACCAAAAGTCAGACAGTAAAAAACCTACCTTCGTACTCGTGGGTGGGTATGCCACGTTAGACCATGCTCGGCATCGCCGGTAATGACCTCATCCCCACCCTATCCCACCCCCATCCTGGACTGAAAAAGCAAAGGTGCACAGGCTAGAGTGTCCCAGCTTTATTGCTTGCCGTAGTCAATATACTGGGCACGCGGTGGGGCCTAGGCTGAGGAAGGAAGGAGCAGGGCTCAAGGGGAGGGCCTTGGCCAAAGGTGTAGGTGGGTCGAGAACCAGGGACAAAATTCTAGGGTAGGGTTCCAGGAGGCTGAGACCAATGCACCCAGATCCGGACTCCAGAGGAGGGGACCAGCATCTAAGACAAAGAGGTGTAACCGCAGGGTGGATGCAAAGGCAGGGTTGGAATGTGGAGAGCCAGGCTATGGTCTGGCTCAGTGGAAGGTCTCCACCTCCACAACGGTCCAGTCACCCTGCGGGGAAGCCATGTCATCCGGGGAGAAGCTGGTGACCGAGGTGATGCTGGCGCGGGACTCGTCCAGGGGAGACAACAGCTCGGCCCAGCGACCCAGTTCGGCGTCGGTGAGCGCAGTCCGGGAACCTGCCGCACCGCCGCCACCACTCCCAGCGGTCCCCGCGCCACCGCCGCGGTCGCCAGTGGCACCTTCGGCCGCTGCTAAGAGCAGCGTCCGGCTCAGCAGGTGCTGCACTACACTGGCCTGCAGAGCCCCCAGCGGCAACTCGCCCAGAGGCGGGGGCTTCACACTGCGTGAGGCTGCCCCCACTCCCGCCCCCGCCCCGGCCACCTCCTTCCCACCACCCACGCTGGGCCCGGGCCCGGATTCCAGTGGTCCCGGGTCGGAGGTCGCCGACTCGGGCCTTTCAACCTCGTAGATAGTGCACAGGCCGTCAGCAGAGCCGGACCCAGCAACCGGAGGCCAAGGCAGGGGCACTCCTGCGGCGAGAGGCTAGAAGCTAGGCGCAGGGAGAGAGAAGCCCCGCCCCCCCGCCCCCCCCAGCCCCCCCCACCCAGCACAGATCTAGGGGAGCCGCACCTTCAACCCCGCCCACCCACATTCCGGTACCTGGCTCCGGGCACAGCTCCGCAGGTTCGGAGGGCTGCTTACCTGGGGTGCTGCAGACAGCCAGTGGTGGAGTGGGACCTCGACTCCAGGCAGCCGGGTGGCAGGCAGCGAGCTCTGCGTCGGCGGGCGGGGAGGCTGGGGCGCCGCTCTCGGGCCCGCTGTCGTAGCCACGCAACTCCTCAGGTGTGCTTGTGGCGCTGCTGCTGTGGCCCGCCAGGTCCGGGCCGCTCAGCGTACTGGACGGGCTGCGAGAGGGCGGTGGCGGCGGAGCGGAGGCCAGCGCCAGTGTCAGCCGTGGACCCGGGATTGGGGCATCCGGACCCGGGGTCAGGGGGCGTGGGGCCTGAAGCAAGGGTGAGGCAGGAGAGGGAGGGGCCTGCAGAGTGGGCAAGGCCAGAGAAGGTGGTGCCGGGGGAGGGGGCTTGGCCATGGGAGAGGGTGGGTCTTCTTGCAGAGGAGGCAAAGTCAGAGTTTGGATCTGCACAGGGGCCCTAGCCAGGAAAGAAGGCATGGTCTGCAAAGGGGACACGGCCGGCGAGGGAGTGGCCTGCAGGGATGATGAGTCAAGAGAAAGTGAGACCTGTAGAAGGGGCAGGGTCTGAGAAGAGAGAGTGGCCTGTAGAGAAAGTGTGGCCAGAGAAGAGGGACTCTGTGGAGGGGGTGTGGCCAGGGGAGAGGGTGGAGCTTGCAGAACAGTTGAGGACAGAAAAGGTGGGGCCTGTAGAGGCAGGACCATAGAGGGCATGGTCTGAAAAGAGTGGCTAGCCAGAGATAGGGTCTGTGGTGGGGGCGTGGCCACAGAAGGAGGGGCCTGAGAGGCCAATGTGGCCAGAAGAGGGTACTGCGTGGGAGGTGTGGCAAGTATATCTGGAGTGGCCTGAGGATGCGGTGGAGACAGAGGACTGGCCAGTAGAGGGGGCGTGGTCAGGGCATAAAAGTCCTGTGGAGCGTCTGTGGCTAAGGGAGATGGTAAGTTTCGGGGAGACCTTGCCTGAGAAACAGGGGCTTGTAGAGGGGGCGTGGTGGGTGGCAGAGGAGTCGGCAAAGGAGGTGCGGTGAAGGGAGAGGGGAGAATTGGAAGAGGGTGCAAAGCCAGAGAAACCTGGGTGGGGGACGTATTCTGCAGAGGTGGTGAACCTGAAGGAGAGAATGGAGCCAGAAAATTGGCTGTGGGAGAGATGGGTGCCTCAGGAAATGATGTATCCAGGTGTGTGAGTGGGGCTGGCAAAGAAAGTGTGTCTCGCAGACATGGGAGGGGCTGCGGAGAGGGTGGAGCAGAGGGAAGAGGTACTAGTGGAAAAGGCGTAGCCAAGGGACTTGTAAGGGACTGGGAAGGAGGCGCAGTCGGTGGAGAGGTAGGAGACGTGTTCCTCAGAGGAATGCCTGTGTTATGGACAGGCGGTGCCAGTTGTGTGGTCGGATGCGGTAGAGGTGATACAGCCAAAGGAGGAGAAAGGCTCTGCTGGATGGCTGTGCCCTTCCTTGGGGGTGCGACCTGCCGTGGACGTGGAGCCTGCAGCCCTTTCGGCTTGGCCTGCGAGGGATGCCCCAGCGCCCCAGATGTTCCACCTAGCGAGGCCCGGGAGAGGGCTGGAGAGGACGAAAGGGTGGCGCTGGAGCCCAGGGGGCGCGAGGCTGGCCTCTGGAGGCTCCCACCGCAGCTGGGTCGCCGCCTAGCCGCGGGGCTTGGCTCCACGGTACTACGCTCTGTGGCACTGCTCACTGATTTCCTGGGGACTTCAGTTGGAGGTCGTGGCCGCGCATTTGAAGCTGCCCGGGGGAGCCCCACCTCAGCACCCCCACCCCGAGACCGACGGGAGATAGCTGGGGAAGGAGCACTTCGGGTGGGCTCAGAAGAGTCTAGGGACAAAGCAGAAGGCCAGAGAGTCATCAATACTTCCAGCCTGGTGCCCCTCATTGCCCAGGAGCCCCACTCCTCCCCAGGTCACATACCTCTCCATGCCCCTGCATTCGGGGCAGTCCTTCTGGAAGTTTCTGGGGGTTTTCCTCTGCCCATAGATTCCTCAGCTGGGGGCCGGAGCCCTTTCTGCCCAAGAGGGCCTAGCCTGGTGGGGGGGGGGGGTGCATGCTCAGTGCAGAGCCCCCCCTCCTTGTTCAACCTCCAAAGTTCACATTTTCTCATTTGTGAAATGGGGCATATGGTCTCTCTGCGCCTAAGCATGGCTTTTCCCCAACTTGTGCCCAGTGATCAGCAACTGTTCCCACACCCCAATTCATGTGTAAAGTGATTCCACAGAGTGACACTAACCCTTGGCATGGGTTACCTGGTGGTCCCGCTGACACGTCCCGGGACAGAGATGGAGCCTGGGCCAGAAGTCTTGGCAGGAGTCTGCACCCCTCTCTCTACTGCTGGGAGCCTGGAGGCTGTTGGAAGAAGACTGAGTCAAAGTGTTGCCCCAGGAAGCAGGGCAAGTTGGTATTTCAGAAGGAGAGGGGAAACAGAGAAATCGGGTCAGAATCAGGAAGAGGCAGGGATACCTGGGCTTCTGGGACCTGCCCCAGCACTCCGCATGGGTCCCACTCGAGGAGTAGCTTCCAGGAGGGTGGCTGTCCGAATGTCCCCGGACCGTTCGGCTGGGGGCACTCGCCCCGCAGCTCCAAGAACTCGGAAGGCCGTGGGGATTACTGGGGGAGGGGGCCGAACAGACCCTGGAAGTTTGGGGGTTTTCCGAAGGCCTGGTGAGCGAGAAGCCGCGGTCTGCGCAGGAGCCCCTGCCCTGCCCTTGTCCCTCTTGTCCATCCCGCACCTGATGAGGAGACAGACCTGTCAGCATCCCAGGTCTTGCACCATACCCAGCCTGCAAGGAACTGGGTCCTGGCACCTCACTGCCCCTTCCCCAGCGTTGCCACCCATGGGCACACAAACCTCCGCCTCAATTCATTTCCCTCCCACCCAACCACACACTCACCAGCCCAGCTGCTCATGGCTGTCCCTAAGTCCCACCCATTACCCTCCTACAGACCCTGCCTGCCCCAACCCACCATCCTTGTCCTGTCTCTGCTCCCTTTCAGCACCTGAGATCCACGACCCTACCCCTCGACCCGTAGGGACCCAGCCCACTGGCCTCGGGGACAGAAGACTGCCACAGGCCCCAGACGGGGTTGAGGGATGGCAGCTAACACCCAGGTACCCTCGCCAGCCTCGAGGGACGCCAGCACCTGTCGGGAGGAGGAGCGGCCCCCGGCTGCCCGCGCACGGGCTCAGAGACAAAGAACGGCGTCGGGAGCGCATCCCCTTGGCCCAGCAGAGGCCCGGTCCGCGCCATCCGCTCCACCTGCTTGCGCCGTGCTCACCTCCGTCTTGAGTCTCCTGCTCCACGCAGGGTGGCCTGGGGTGGGGCTGTGTGGCAGCACCTTAGTGGCCTCAAGCAACAGACAGGCGAGGGGAGGGGGTTGCGGGAGGTGGTGCAGGGAGCAGGTCCGCCCCTCCACCGCAGGCTTGAGCGACTGGGGGCGCACGCGCCGCATCCAGACCAGGGAGGCGGCGGAACTCACTGGAGGGAGGGGCGGCTACTCCGCGGCTGCGCCTGAGTACCCGCGACCCAACCCGAGGGGACTGGGAGGAGGAAGGAATCTCCAGAGATCACGGATCAGGCCTCCCCAACACAACACACGCACACCCCCCCCCACACACACACACACCCCCCTGGCAACCAGGGGGCGGGACCATCGCGCCTCCGGCCCCATCGACCAATCCGGCTGTTCGGTTTCCTTGGTCACTGTTCTGGCCTTCCCTACCAAGGAAACCAGGTCCCCCAGAGTCCCCGGAGACATCCGCCCCTCTCATACCCAAAGGTTTTCCCAGACCCCAGGAAACCCCATACCTGGTGGTGGAGAGGACTATTGGGAGAATGCAGCTTGGGAATTAAGGGACAAACCCTGAATTTGGGGGAAGAGAGGAAAAAAGGAAGGTCAAGAGGGAGAGAGAAACAGTATGGTGAGTGGTGACCCAGCCTTCTGCAGGACAAGGTACCCCCACCCTGCACACCCTCCCAAGTGCCATGAAGGAGCAAGGTCAGGTCCGTAAAGGCTTCCCAGCAGAGCCAGGCTTTGGGAGCCCAAGACTGTGGGAAGTTGGGAGGTGTCAAAACAGGGCCAGGAAGGAGCTGAGAAGATCCCGTTGGAGGTTTCCCAGCCCAGCCAGTGGGACGGAGATGTGTCAGACCCTCCAGTGACTTCAACTAATGCAGGAGTCTCAGTGGAGGAACTTGATAGGGTACCGTGGCATGGAAGGCATGGGAGGTGGCCATCTTCAGGTGTCCTGTGCTGGCCAACTGAGGCCAGGGGTCCTCCCACACCTCCATGTTCTCCCCACATACATACTGTGCTTTCTGCCCCATGCCTTATCTGTCCAAACACTTAGCCACTCTGTCCCCCATCCCAAAGAACCAGCTCCCTATGCCCATCCCTTTCCCCATTACATGTGTAAGTGCCCCCACCCCCAACACACACACACACACACACACACACACACACACTACAGGAGTGGCCCATCCTTGCCTAGAACTCAGGAGACTTCTAAGCACAGGACCAGGCAGAGTGGCACTTAATACCCTGGTGAACCTGCCACTGGTAGAGGGAAGGGTGGACTTAACTAGGCGTATGTGAGCCATGTAAGTTTGTATTTTTTTCTTTTTTTGTAACCCAAAGACCTGATTAAACTTTGATTGCAGAGGCATCCACCTCAAGGATGGCTACCTCCAGTCAACACGTTGCCAGCCACACAGTACATGAAGAGCAAGGCTGCCTCCCACACTGAGTCTCCTTTATTTTAAAGATCTTAGTTGACCTTTTTTCTTTCTTTCCACACTTTACATCTACCAATAAAGAGTGTGCTTATGAGTTCATGAAACCCAAGGCCCCCACACTTTACCCCAGTGAAAAAACCCCAGGCTACTTCCTCTCTCTCTCCCTGATCCCCGCCCCCCATAACCTCATGTAATTTCCAGGTCCTGTAAGGCATCCTGCAATCACGATAAGAACTACCAGGGTTGGGCCAGTCACAACATTGGTTGTTAAACGTCTGAGACCAGCTCCAAACACTTGGGTGTAGCCAGAAACAAGGGTTTGTGTTTTCTCATTTCTGGGATTGTATCCACAGTTGAGGTTCAGGGAATGGAAGAGAGAGAGGCCAGGGTCAGAACTGAATACCCTGCCCTGGGCAGTGGGAGCCAACCTTGAAAACCCATCTTTTCAAGGAGCCCTCCCTCCTGCCTGGCAGGGGTGCCCCTCACATCCCCAGGGCACTGCCCTCTGGATTGGATCATTCTGGGCCTCACTTCATCCTCTGGTCTACTGAGAGTCACCCACGTGAGTCCCTTCTGGCATGGCAGCAGCCTGGTTCCCCTGCCTGCCTGCTCACCTGTTCACCAGTAGTGCCCTTCTGAGTCACAGCTGCCTTACCCAGACACCTGCCCTGCTGTCTTCTATGATACAAGGGTCCCTCCAAGGCCAAACTGAATCCATCCTGCATTTCACTGAGATCTGGACTCTGCCCTCATGTAAGAACATTCCTCAACTCTGGTGCATCAACAAGGGGGATGCATTACACAAACCAAACATACCCTGCATTCCCTGCAATGGAATATGCCTCAGCAATAAAAAGCAACAAACTGCAGTATCAAGAAATGAAAAATGGACAAATCTCAAATATTGGGGAAGGAAAAAAATATTCTGCTGAACAAAAGCAGCTACACACACACTTCACTTCATGATTCCATTTATAGAACATTCTGGAAAATGCAAGCTAATCTATAGTGACAGAAAGCAAAACTGTGGTTGCTGGGAGCCGGAGGGGGAGGGTGACTGTTGGACCACCCGTTGTAGCCATTCTTGGACTCCTGACTCTTAGAAACTGTGTGAGGCAATGAATACTTACAAGTTTAAGCTGCTACATTTGGGGGGTAATTTATTACACAGCAATAGCTAACTACCTCAAGTTCACAAAACCTTAGAAGCTGGGCATTAAATACCAGTGCTGGTGAAAATGTGGAGAAATGGGAAAACTTGAGAGCCATTGGGGGGGGGGGTGTAAAATGGTGCTGCTGCTGTGAAAGACAATATGGAGGCTCCTCAAAAAGGTAAAAGCAGAATGACCATATGATCCAGCAATTTCAGCCAAAAGGATTGAAAGCAGAGACTCCCAGAGATATTTACTCACTCATATCATAGCAGCATTATCCACAATGGCCAAAGATGTTAGCAACTCAAGTGTCATCATGATGTGGATGAATAAACAAACACGATGTGGCCCATCCCAGCAATGGAAGATTATTTGGTCTTTGAAAGGAAGGAAATTCTGAAACCAGCTACGATGTGAATAAAACTTGAAGATATTATGCTCAGTGAAATAAATCAGTCATAAAATGACAAATATTGTATGATTCTATTCATAAGAGGTCCCTTGAGGCATCAAATCTATAGAGACAGAAAGCAGTTCTTGGGTGTCAGGGGCTGGGGAAAAGGGGGATGGGGAGTTAATGTTTAACAGGGACAGAGTTTCAGCTCAGGAAGATAAGAAAGTTCTAGAAATGGACAGTGGGGATGGTTGCAGAACACTGTGAATGTACTTAATGCCGCTGAACTGTACACTTAAAAATGGCTAAGATGGTAAGTTCTGTTATGTGTATTTTACCAACCACAATTTTTTTTTAAAGTTTGGTATTATTGACGTGGGAAAACTCCCCCATTCCCAATGGGGACAGCAAGTGGGAGGCCTCTGGAGAACCACAGGAAAGCACTGGGAGTATGTGTGTCCTGTAACCCTGCCATACCACTTCAGTGTCAATACCTGCAGCAGACACATTTGAGGGCCCCTCCCTATTACACCCATGGTTCCCACTGCAGGCAACTCAAAATTACCAGGGAGTTAATGCCTCTCCATGCCCCTTCTCCAGAGCAGCCCTCAGCCAAGACAAACACGACCTGGCACATCAGCACTCCAACTGGGAGGTGCCTTCCACCACCTCCCAGTGTTCTCCAGAAGGAGCGCCAGTTGCCCACAATGGCAACCTGCTCATTCACCCTCATTGATATCCCCTCATTAAGGCTTACTGGCTTTCCTCCCTGTCCAGTATCACCTCCCCACTACACCATCATCAGTGCTTGCAGGGATCACTACTCAGATAAACTATTTGCATCCAGTTCCTTGTCTCAAAATCTGCAATTTGAAGAGCCCGAATTAAGATAACAGCTCAATCATCCACCCATCCATCATTACCTGAGTGCCTACCACTGTGTTCCTGGTACCATTCCAAGTGTTGGGGACACTACAGGGAGCAGAAGAGACCCCTGCCTGGGCTTAACAGGGCTTCCAGCCCAGTGACCTCAGACTCTTGCATAAGTGTGCCAAGTTGGACACTCACTCATTCCAGAAAAAAGCTGGAAACAAATTTAGAGCATGGATATCAAGGAGCTTCTCTGGAACAGGAAGAGTCCACTGAAGGGAAGGGAGAAAGTACTGTGCCTCAGATGGTTCTTCAGAGGGAGTCCAGGGCTTCACGCAGGTGGAGTCCTGGAAGGGGCACCCATTACAGTTTCACAGAGGAACCTGAGCTTAGGGAGTTCCAACCTTCAAGGTTTCAGGGTCTCAGGAGGTGGCGCTTCTTTGTCCCAGGGGGGCGGGGTCTCACCCTCCCATTCTAGTCTGGCTCCCATTCCTTGTTTTGTAGACAAAACAGACCAAGGTTCAACTGCCCACACCTCCAAGCTGAACTGGGAATTGGCTAGTCCAAGACCCTGGGCATGGCAAGACAGAGTCATTCTTTCTAGAAAACAGCCTCTCAGACTGGACTCTAGTCCCATCTCCCAGAGCCCTCTGTTCCCTGCACTCACCCACAGACCACCTGTGGACCTGGCAGCAGCTCGCTTGATGCCTTACCCCCAGTGGACAGCCAGCCTCAAGGCTGGGCAGGGTAAGACAGGTAAGCACCCCCACTCTGCTGGGCTTCCCTGAGTAGGTGGTTGGAGCAGGAATGGGAAACCCGTTTCCTCTCCCATGGACCTCAGTCACTGGTTCCTTGCTTAGACCTCAAAACCAGGTGGCTGCACCTTGGAGTGGATGAAGGAGGAGGCCTTCCATGCTTTCTGACCCCGTCTACACAGTTTGGCTCCAAGGACAGGGCCCGGGGGGTGCGCGGTGCCTTCAACCCACCTCATACGTATGCCCCAGGCCAGGTTCCGCCTGATGGCAACTGAGCCCAGAGTTCAGGGCCCCTGCTCTTTGGGCCGGCCCTCGGAACACCTGGGGAGAGCAGGATTACGGTCACACTTCTCTGTGATCCTGGGCGCCTGGAGTCAGGGGACACCTGGGAGAGAGGCAGGACTGAGACGTCAGGTGGGCGGGGCGGGATGGGGCGGCCCGGGTTACTGTCCCGCCCACCCTGATTCACCCAGCCTGCCCCGGACTAACTCTGCAGGAGCAGAGACCCAGGAGTTGGGCTCAGCTCTGCCTTGAGCGGTGAGTAGGTAGCTCTCCTCCGCTGAGAACCAGGTTGCTGGGTGAGGGTCGGGCCCAAGGGAAGACTGCCCCAAGTATAGCTGGTACTGTGTCTGGGGCCCACAGCCACTGTCCTGCGTGCAGGAGAGCTGGGGAGGAGGTAGGGGCAAAAAGAGGTTAGGCCCTAGTCAGGACAGCACACAGGGCTGCACAATGACCGAGTGAAGATCAATAGGCTGGGTGTGGCCCTTGGGGGTGGGTTGGTCTTCATCATGTTCCCC